TATTAATAACCAGTTTTAAAAGATAAACACTTTATACACATTTTCATTTTTATGTAAACCAAAAAAGCCTTAATTTTAAAGCTTTCTTTTTCTTAGTTTTTTTATATTGGTTAGACCAAGAATATGACTTTGAGCCTAATTCTAGTTGTAAGTTCTCTAAGCTTAGAGGCTTTGTTTTTGCTCTTAAATGGTTCAATTTAATACCACTATCTAAATAATCATGTTGCAGAACTAATTTGTATTCAAAAACTGATTGAAACAATTGAGGGAAAATCCCAAACAAATATCAAACTGACCATTGTGATAAATTTTAGTGATGCAGCTGACACCCTTTAATGTCTGACCCTCTAACAACAATTGAATCTTGAAACCAAGAAGAGAAATCCCTAATTACTGAATGTTTTATGACTGCTTTTTTTTCCAGCCATTCAACTGGTCAAATTTCACAAATGAAATCATGTCAACTGTGAATATTAATATTCCAAATGAGGAAGATGTGGTTGTTTATGCTCCAGAATATTTAACCAAACTTAAGCCTATTCTTACCAAATATTCTGCCAGGTAGGTATGCCACAGTGCCCATGTCGTCAAAGTTTACATTTCATATCACTCTTTAGAAGCTTTGCAGCCTCATCTTTTCTGTTGCTGGGTGGTGGGTTTTTTTATGCAGAGATCTTCAAAATTTAATGTCCTGGCGGTTCATAATGGATCTTGTAAGCAGCCTCAGCCGAACCTACAAGGAGTCCAGAAATGCTTTCCGCAAGGTGAAGAAAAAATCTCTCTTTTCTTAAGACTTAAAGCATAAGGTGATACATGGTTATGAAGGCTTGCCATGTACGACTGCTAGAGTGTGGTGAACTTTGCCAAGGGACAAAATGCCAAATGTTGATTATTTTGCACATGTTTAGAATAGTTGCCTAGGAAAGAGATCAGTCTTCATGGGCGTTACCATCCTGTGATAGTCTATGTGGCACCATGATTGCATTGCCCTGTAAGGAGCTTCATTTGGTTATTTGAGCAGTTCATGAAAGAATACTGCCTTGATTTTTTTGTTCTTGTTGTTGTGTTAAAAGTAATTGCAAGGGTATCTATCTCAATCGACTTGATTTTCAGGTGCTCATTGCACACTGGACTGATTTTCAGGTGCTCATTGCACACAGATGGACTACAATGACGTGGACAATCCACTGAGAGTACACCTACCTGGACATAACTTTGAGGCCTTTTCTTAGGCTGTACCTACATTATTTAAACAACAATCATTTTAGTCCTGTTGTGAGGGGAGCGGGCAGCAGGAACTGAGGAAGGAGAGATTCTAGCAAACATGTTGGTTGGTGTATTGGAAAGAAAATAACTCTGATTGATTGAAATTGCCAGTTTTTACCCCTAAAAAGAAAATCTAGACACATTTTTTAAAATTAAAGAATAAAAAATGGTATTGTGCTAAATTTTCCTTGCCTAACTTAATCCCCTTATAATACATAGATTTATACACATATAGTTCTTCTGTGTACCTGAAGTCCAACTAAAACATTAAAAAGCAGGAATGTGTTTTCTTGTATACCAGATGTCCCTGCTGTTACATTTATTGAACATTACCTCACATTTATGTTTATGCAGTGGTTACAATGTTGCATTTTTTAAAAATAGCTTTCTAGAATGGTATTACCTTGCAATAGCCAAAAGTTCTAGTGGGACATGCTACTGAAAATATACCTTGTTTTAAGATTATATATAAGTAAACAATCCAGATTACATTTTATCAGAGGCTAGGGACATGTGCCTTATGAGAAGCAATGAATATTGCAAGAACTTAGAGGAGACATAAAGAATAGAATCATGTGAAATTTGTGCTCTTACCATAGTCCAGCCCTCTGCTCCTGATCAAACGCCATTTCCTCTTTCTCTTCCATAGGCCCTTTATGGCACAACATCGGAAACGGCAGCTTGGAGACGCTGTGCAAACTATGTCAACGGGAATATGGAAAATGCTGTGGGAAGGCTTTATGTGGAAGCGGCATTTGCTGGAGAGAGTAAACATGTGGTAATGTTTTCAGAACAATACAGCATCAGTTACACAGTCCTATCACTTTGCATTGATGGACAGTTACAGTTGTCCATCATTTGGCTAAAATTGTATTAATTAGGCAGAGAAACTCTGAATCATATTATGCCACTGTTTTCCAATAAATCTCACCCTACCTTCCCCAATGGCCTAGTTATGTTTCTGCTCCTAATATTGTTCAGTCCAAAGCCAACTCTCCATTTTCCAGGAGCAGTATATTCAAAGAACCCAGTCACCTGGTCTATTGATACATTTATTAACTCTTCTACTATCAAAATTGACCAACAATTACTGCTTTTTTAAAAACCTAAAAAGTAAACCAGAGTTTATTTGAAGTGTAAGAAATGCATTCCATAACGGGAATCAAGACAATGAACTTGATATGGTGAAAGAATCTATTGAAATGCTACTTCATTTTAGCTAAACCACTAATGGTAATGACAGCTAATATTTTGTGTTAGTTCTTCTCATTTGATAGTGGAAACCGTTACATTCTGAAGATGACTTTTGAAATTAATTTATATGTTAAGACCTTGTTAATCAGAAGTGTTGATAGTAGCAATATTGCTTAAAAAAATATAATGATCCCATATATCCATTTGTTTAGGTCACAGTTTGTCTATAAAGTACCATAGTATTGAGTCACATAAAGAGAGCATGTAGCTCTGATTTTTAAAATTTGTGTTACAAAGAATGTATTAATGACCTAAATTTGTCTTCTGTTCTTTTGATTTGAGGTTGAGGATTTGATTGCCCAGATCCGGGAGGTTTTTATTCAGACTTTAGATGACCTCACTTGGATGGATGCGGAAACAAAGAAGAGAGCTGAAGAAAAGGTAAAGAGCAAGCAGGGCTAACGGGTAAAGAAAAAAAATTCTGTAGGAAAAGATTAACTTTAAAAATGTTTAGGAAAAAATATAATCAAGGATTGCATAAAACATTATAAGCTCCTCCAAGATGTAATGTTTCCAAGAACAGTTTTCATGGATAAAGATATTTTTTCTATGATTTCCATTTTTTAATCTCTGCAGCCAATATCCATGTTCCATGTTCAGTTTAAAACTTTGAAAGTGCTTCCATTTTCCTTTTGTTCAAGGAAGACCTTGGAAAATAAGAGGAAAATTCTGTATGAACAAATAAAGAATTAAAAAATACTATATCAACGATTCATACTTTTTCTCCCTTTATAAAACATATCTAAAAGGTCTCTACAAATGACTAGAAATGTTTCTTCAATGTATAATGCAGGATTCTAGTTAAACTTTTAAAATGTGTCCTATTTAGCTTTTTATATGACCTAGGAAGAAAAAAATATTAAGTTTCTGTTCAAGCAAATGTAAAGTAGTGCAATATTTGTATATTATAAAATCTATAATTAAAGGGATGTTGAAGAAGCCTTTTATGACTACTTTTATCTACTCTTAATGTGAAGCTTTTATTGAGACTTTTAATACCTTGCATAAGAATAAGTGTGGGATTTCTAAGGAAATCATTGGTTTAGATTTACTGTGATCATTTGTCTTTATAATTAAATGAAAACTAGGAGGAACATGTGCTGTGAAAACTGTGAGCATGCTTTATGAGGAACAATTCACATGCAACCTAACTATTCCTCTATAGTTAGAGTGGCAGAAAAAAATAGACCATTCTTTGGAGTGATATAGGAGTCAATAATAAATTTTATTTTAGTAATATAATCAACCTCTACTCTAGTTTTCTTTCAGAATTGAATCAAATTAAATTAAATGGAAAGACTATCACTTTTCAGGTCTCCAAGAGCCCTGAGTGTGTGAGGACTAGCATTTAGACCCCCAGCACAGCTATCTTTCCATCACTCTGGCCAGTTCCCCAGACGTTCAGGCTGGATTTGCTCCTTTCATGTTGTAGCTATCCATGCCATGGTTCTGCCTGGTGTAGCAAACTGAATTGTTCTAGATCAGCATTTCTAAAGTGGCATCATAAAATATTGGACCTGCGGGTTGTTCCACAAGAGTCCCGTGGTCAAAAGAGTTTAGTAAACACTTCTTGTAGGAGGCCTTCTCTTATCCCACCCTAAGCTAGGTTCCATGCTCCTAGGGTGTGATTTTTATGGCACTATACATCACACTTGGAAGTTAATATTTATTTCACTGCTTATCGTTGCTTTTCATGGCACATTCTATGGGGAAAGAAAATTCTACCTAGCCTTATATCCTCAGCCCTTTACAAAGTGCCTGGCTCTTAGTAGACACTTGAACATATGTTGAATGAATAAATCAACAAATGAATTCCTCCTCTTGGACACTTATAATAACCTAATATTCTAACCTTTAAGTCTAATCTATTTTTAATTATAAGAAGTCCTGCAATAAAGAAACCTGCTTAATGTTTTTGCTACAGTATTTACCCAAAGTATTTGACAATACATTTATTTTATGTAGTACCATTTGTTTCCTGTAGAATTTGTATCCCTTAGAACACTATTTAGAGAAATGCCTTCTAGGAGATAAAATATAATTGAGAAGGGGTGGATTTGTAATGAGTTAATGGTTGGAAACCTTCAAGAAAATGGGCGTGGCCTAAATGACTTCAGCGACACATATGCTGCCTGATCCACTGGGGAAATCCTGGGCTCACGTGATAGATTTGTAACAAAACCTCATCCCTTTGATGACAAACCAAGCAACTCGTAGATACAGGCTGAATTCCTCATGAAAAATTTAAATTTACTAAATTATTTAAGAACAATATATGATAGAATAAAAAGTCAAATATCTTTGGGAAAATCAAGAGAGAATAAAAAAATAAAAATAGGAATAGCAAGTAGTAAACAAATGGTGATAATGAAATTATAAAATAAATAAAACAAACCATTTTAAAATAATAAAAATAGTAGATTGTTAGAAATAGTAGTAATAAATGGTAAATATGAACTGGGATAACAAGGAACACACTGTTTTTCACTTGTTTAATTAATGTCATTCATTTAACTTGAGAAGATAGGTACACTGACTTTGGAGAACAAAGGAGAACATAAAAACTCCAGGAACCAATATTTAGGAAGAATATTAGCACTAAACCTGTAAGACCATATCTGTTTTCTCAGCCAAATCAATGAAGTGGAAAGATAATTATAACCTGCTAGACTGGAAGCTCTAAATATTACCCCTTCTGTAAAACTTAAGAAAACAGTCTTTCAGAGAGAAAGTTCATAGAAGTTAAATACATGTGGAACAATGACTTCTGCCAGTTTTCATTTTGGTTTTTTTTTTTTTTTTTTTTTTTTTTTTGAGAAAGCTGCAGCCTATAAGAATAGGACATTAGAAGCTAAATTTCAGACCTCTTCTTTGTTTATTTTTTAACCCCAGGAAGAAAGGAGCCATGGCAAAGATCTCTGCTTAAGTGTTGTCAGATACTCTTTTTGTAAACAGTATGGATCAAGTTATTCAATTTCTAGTCACGGGAAAATTATAATGTTTGTACCTGAAAGTTACATAATCATCTTAACATTCAATATTATAATTTTCATAGGCCTTAGCAATTAAAGAAAGGATCGGCTATCCTGATGACATTATTTCGAATGATAACAAACTGAATAATGAGTACCTCGAGGTAAGTCTCTATAAAGACTCTGGGCTAATGACACCTGGGGCTGGCCGCAATATCGTTTTTAGCTATGGGGTCCCAGAAATTATGAAAAGTCGTCTAAAACCCTGAGTCTTATTGTATAAGACCTTTAACATTGAAGCCAGAGCTATGTTTGTTTTAGCCTTTTGTTTCATTAGCCCGGACTCTAGTTGGTTTCTGTTATTTTAGTTTCCACATGTACCATTTAAGTATAGAAAGGAAAATCTGGTGTCCTTTAAAGAGTATCAAGGGCTAGACATCAAGGTGATGGGGCAACAGGCAGCCGTCAGGCTCCTTATCACGTCTCACCCACACCTGAAAAGTCAAAGCTTCGGTTTTCCTTCCACCTTCTAATTATTCCCCCCACTGGATAAACCAGTTCATGCTTCCTCTATTAAAACAAACAAACAAACAAAAAAAACTAATGCTTGAGAACCGGAAACTATTTTATTCTCCCTGGTAATATAACAATTAAAAGGGAAGAGAGTTGATTAATCTCACTACAGTACTGATTTCAGACTCAGCTGTTGCTCAGTCCTGTTGCTAATCTTGTGGTCACCACAACTATTTCATACCCTGGGGACAGCAAGGTGATCCTTGCCGAGGTTCAGGGATGGCAATCATTCCTCACCCGTTGATTACTAGCCTAACGTGGTGGTTTGCACACCATAGTGCCCTCTCCTCCTTTTCCATTTGCAGGAAAACTTGTCGTTCTCTTCTAAACCAGCTTGCAAGCCCCAGGGGTTCTTATGACAGGGGTGTAGTGGCTAAAAGAATAGACTAAAAGCCAAGCGATTTGGGTTCAAATCGCAGTTCTACCACTCATTTAAACTCGGGCAAGTGATTAAACTGTGTTTCCATTTCCTCAACTTTAAAATGAGAATAGTAGCCCTTTGCTCACAGGAATATTGCAAGGACTAAATGAATATAATACATATTTAACTTACTTAGAACAGTACTTGGCACATAGTACATACTAAATAAGAATGTGCTGTTATCCTTATTTGTTATGTGAGGATTAATGGCAATATAGTGAGGTTTGTTTGACACTTGGTTTCATTTCATTAACTATAAAAGAATGGACTGACATTGTGATTTGGCTAGAGCAATACTGACCTGTAATACAGAACTAGGCTAATTGGAATGAAATCCTTCTTTGGTAAGTTTCTTAATGCCCTCTGTTAACTTTATTAAATCATAGAATTTAAGAAAATATCCCTTATGTTATTTAGAAAAAATTTTGAAGATACTGGTTTTAATATTTCTCCTCAAATCTCTTATATAATATAGTTGAACTACAAAGAAGATGAATACTTTGAGAACATAATTCAAAATTTGAAATTCGGCCAAAGTAAACAACTAAAGAAGCTCCGAGAAAAGGTGGACAAGGATGAGTATGTATATTCCAGTTTCTAATGTGTTCGTTCAGAATAGGGCTTTTCCCTGCCTTCTTTGTTAGATTAAGAAAGAGAGCCTGGCTTAGAAAAATGTTAAAAACTACAATGTCCTCTTTTTATTGAGAACCTCTAAAAGCATCTAATTATGTTATATTAAAGATATAGGTCAAGAATTTAACCAAATTTAAATTTTTTCATTAAGATATCCTCAGACTTACCTTATTTCTTTAGTTTCTTCTTATATCATTGCCAATCCCTCTAATTTATTTGTGAACAAGTTTCTCAAAAACACCTTAATTTAGGTAACCTAACCCAAGCTCCTTTACACCTTCTCTTAGACCTCACTCTGTATTAAGTATTTTCTTCTGCTGACAGCCCTCCCCTTTTTCTATCAGTCAGGAATCCTACAACTCCGTCCCCTTCCTGGATTGGTTCATGCAACACTTTTCTTAGCTCTGCAAATAGGAAATACCAGGAACCATTCTCATTCATAGCTTTGAAATGTTCTTAATCTCTGCATATTAGTAACATCAGTGCTTCATAATAACTATTAGTTTAGTATTTATTTTTTAACTAACTAGATGCATTTAACATATTTATCAGCATGTGTTTTTGTACACTTAAATCCCTAGAATTGCTTTTGCCGACTTTTCTCCCCTAGGCTCTTAGCCGCTGTAGAACCGGGGCTCTTCTTTTTGACTGTTAAGTCTTAGCATCCAGCACATAGAAGGTTCTCAGTTAAAACTGAATTAATGAGTGAATGAGCATGTGAAAAATAAATATGCTAACTTGATTTGTGTAACTATTAATAACACAGTAACATGCTAAAGAAGTGCTTTCATGCATTCATTTATTCTTTAATTCATTCACGTATTTAACTAATAATTTGGAATACTAAGTCCAGGTGTCTTTGGGCACTGGGAGAATCAAAGGTGAACCTTGATTATATTACATTCCAACAGCAGAAAGTAGACAAGACATGATGTAATAAACCATGCCACAGGGAGAGAAATGCCGTGCCAAGAAAAGTACAAAGTGCAGTGAGATCGTTTGATGACAAGACCGTTCTGTTCTCAGTAAAACAAGTACAGGTTGGACAAAATTACTAATGGAAATGCAGATAAATTTTAACTCTTAGTCGACATTTTGAACTCTTGCAACACTGACATGCCTTGAAAAAGGGTGACTCTTTTGCTGACTTCTAGGTTTATATTGGAGCAAACATTGTGTAGTCTGGCTTTAAAAATGGGGCTGCAAATATCAGAGAAGATTTAGTGTCCCATCTGCAAAAGAACACATTTGGTGTTATATT